TAGTTGCTCCGCGGAATGTGGGATCTTCCCGAACCAGGGCTCGAACCCATGTACCCTGCAGTGGCAGGCGGATCCTTAACTACTGCACCACCAGGGAAGTCCCCAGGGTTCTTTCTGTAGAGGCGAAAAGCTTCCTGCTGGCATAAATGATGACTGAACTTTTTTCCCCGACAGATCGACCATGTTGATCTAACTTCTCTAAGCCAGTTTGTCTGATATGCCAGCTTGAGCGTCTCCTCTGTCCCCCACTCCTTTGGGTATCTAGCTGACTGGCGGTCATGTTTCTGTTTTCATCTCAGGTTCACTGTTGGCAGAAAGCAGACTTTGAATGGACCATGATGGATCCAGGATTGGGAGAGAATTGGTAAGTCACGTCCATTATTAACTGCTTTTCTTTGAGAGAGGCTATCGCCGTTGCTTTCTACTTTCCGTGACTCGTATGGCCATTGCAGCTGATGACTGAACTTTTCCCCGTCAGATCGACCCTGTTGATCTAACTGAACTATTAGCCAGTTTTGTCTGATGCATTGTCCACAAAGATAACTTCTGTTTATCTGTTTTCTGCTTAACCACCAACAGACTACTTTCTGTGGGGCTTTTTTTAGTGGGAATTGGGCTTGCCCTATGTATGGGGTTTTTCCCTCTTCCATCATTCAAGTCATTTATCTTGGCTTCATCTGTTAACTTCCTACAGGACCAGAGCCCTTTGTCAGGGCGTAAGTAGGTTGATTGCAGCCTGGTCTCAGCTTGGTTCAGTCTGTCCTGTGACAGGTGAGGTTTCTGCAAATTGTTATCTAGGTGTTAACCCCTCCTTAGTAAAATGATTACTAAATGTGCTCAGGGTAGAGAGGTGTTGGGTTTGCCCACTTGGGAATAACCTGAGTACCCAGTTCCAAGTTGGGTAAAACAGGAGGGGAAGATCATGTCCTTGGCAGTACTGTTGACCTATTGGTACTACCAGGTCTTTCCCTAAGAAAGGGGGAAAAATTAAATGAAAACTTAATTCTGCCTTGGCAGATAATACGAGATGAGGAGCTCCAAGCCATCTTTTGAGTTGAGATTGAAATTGGTTGTAATTTTTTTTGAAAGGTTGAATTTTTCACACTGTTAGCTGGAAGCCAACCTCAGTTCCTTACCCCATGGGTAAGGAACACAGTGGCTTGCTGCATCACAGTGAGCAAGCCAAGGAGACAGGCAGTCTCTATCTCCTGCCTCCTTTCTTTTTAAACAAATAACACTTTGTATCCCTAATGTCTGCTTATCCACTTTATATTTCAGATGCCCCCATTTGTCCCTAAAGTATCTTTTGAATGAGCTTCATTTGTGTTAAGTCCCTCTAGAATCAACATAACTTTTGGTGTGGTCCTGGGTATGTCTCCCTTACCTCTATTTACTGTACCTAGAAAGGCTATAGATTGATGATGAACATTTTGACGTTATCAGGAACAACACAGACTTCAGTGAGGTGCCAGACTCAAGAGGTTGGAAGTCTCTCCTTGGTCTGGTACTTAATTCAACATCCACCTAGTTCCTGAAGTCTAGATACTTCCACATCCCAAACAAGTAGCTGTTTATATCAGTTTACATCAGAATGAAGTCCTGATCTTGATGTATCTTTTTTCTTTTAAGGAGTTTCTCAACTGTGGAGTTGGAATGCAAGGTCTCTTGGGAAAAGATGACCCTGTTTACTGAGAAAGCATGAAGGTTCTGGTTGAATCAGTCTCATAAGGTTGCTGTGTAACCTGAGTGTCCAGAGCTGAAAAGCCTCTGGCTGTTTTGAAGAATCAAGTATTATATTAAACTTAGGTAAAAATTTCTTAACTTTGTAGCCTTCCTATCTGGAGAAAGAAAATAAAATCCTTTGAATCAAAATGCTGTTGTATTTGGTCATTGGAGATAGAGACCTTGAACCAAATGATACTTGAGGTAAAAAGCTCTAGGGGCAGAGAGAACTTTTAATATTAAACTTAAAATTTTAATGTTTAAACATGGAAAGTTCCAAACAGACTAGTGACATAGGGCTAATCTGGTTTCACTTTAACTTCCCTACTCTGTCCCAGATACTTGATCTGACTAATCTTAGGAAGATAGGATTCCATTGTGGTTTTTTTTGACTTTGTACCTTCTAATCTGATTCCTGATGTTGACTCCAAGTCCCTTGAGTGTGTGGACCTAGTGCATCCGGTGAATAGAAAACTCGCTAAAGGGGTATTACTTTTTTTTTTTTTTGCCGCACACCACGGCCTGATGCCCCTGCAGTGGAAGCTCGGAGTCTTAACCACTGCTGCACCAGGGAAGTCCAAGAAGGGTATTCTGCCTTGTTGACTTGGCAACAAAAGACTTGTTGACATCCTCTTGCCTAGTTACCTTCTGTCTTATTCCTTGGCTTGCTCACTTTAGTGAAACAAGCTAGTGAGGAATTGAGATTGGCTTCCAGCCAATAATGTGCAGGGAACTGAGTCCTGCCAACAACTGAGTTTGGGAGCAGATCCTCCCCGGGTATTTGGTGACTAGAAACCTTACTGACACCATGACGCCTGTGAGCATTCAACTTAATATGCCCAAACCTGAACTGACCCCCTTCCACCAAGACTGCAGCTCCCACAACCATTTCTATTCCAGGCGTCACAACACTGTCAGTCTAGGTGCTCAGGCCAGAAATCTTAGTTATCCTTGACGTTTTGCTCCATTCCCCACGTTGGTTTACCTTTTTTTTTTTTGGCTGTGCCATGCAGCATGTGGGATCTTAGTTCTCCAACCAGGGATTGAACCCGGACCCCAGAAGCCACTGGATCCCTGGGGAATTCCCGGTTTACCCTTAAAATACATCTGACATTCACCCTTTCCCACCTCCATTGCTACCGTCTTCCGGATCCAAGCCACCATCATCCAAGCTTTGATTACTGGTCTGTACTTCCACCTTTGCTCCCTGAGATCTAATTCTCTATATGCAGCCAGAGTGCCCTTGAAAACCAGAGATCACACCACTGTCCTGCTCAACCCTCCTGTGTCTCCCCACCTCACACAGTAAAAGCTGGACTCAATGGCCTGGACCATCTTCCTCTCCATTAACCTCTGACCTCATCTCCTCCCTTCTCTTTCAGTCACACAGGTCTAACTGTCCTCCATCACTTTAGGTGCACTCCAACCTGGAATGAATGACCAGGCCTAGCCCCGCCAGGTCTTTGCATGGTTCCCTTGGTTTACTTAAATGTCAACTTCTCTGGGAACCTATCTAAAACAATCTTCCCCATCACTTTCTATTCCCTTATATTTTTCTTCGTATTATTTTTCACTGCCTAATAAATAGTGCCTATGTGTATACAGTATACATACATTATATGTGTATGTTTATGTAGCATATATATTTGTCATCTGTCTCCCTACATTAGACCACGACTCCATGGTAGATAGTACAAGAGATAGTGTAGATAGCAGCTGTCCCTCCTTTGTGGCCCCTCCATGGCACACGGCACAGATCCTGGCACGTGGTAGGCCATTCAATAAATATTAAATGAAAGAATGAATCTGGGATTTCCCTGGTGGTCCAGTGGGTAAGACTCCGTGCTCCCAATGCAGGGGGCCCAGGTTTGATCCCTGGTCAGGGAACTAGACTCCACATGCATGCCGCAGCTAAGAGTCTGCACGCCGCAACGAAGAAGCCGGCATGCTGTGATCCCGCAACTAAAGATCCTGCATGCTGCAACAAAGATCCAGTGTGCCACAACTAAGATCCGGCAAAATAAATATTAAAAAAAAAAAGTGAATCAGACGCTTCCCTTGTGGCAGGACTGCTAAAGTACTTGACTGGCACACCTTTTTAAAAGGTTTATTTTATTCTTTTTGGCTACGTTGGGTTTTCGTTGCTGCGTGTGGGCTTTCTCTAGTTGTATGTGGGCTTCTCACTGCAGTGGCTTCTCTTGTGGAGCACAGGCTCTAGGCGTGCAGGCTTCAGCAGTTGTGGCACGCGGGCTCTAGAGCACAGTCTAAGTAGTTGTGGCGCATGGGCTTAGTTGCTCTGCAGCATGTGGGATCTTCCCAGACCAGGGCTCGAACCCCTGTCCCCTGCATTGGCAGGCGGATTCTTAACCACTGTGCCGCCAGGGAAGCCCTTGACTGGCACACTTTGTTACTCATCACAACAGCCTTGTGAGGTGAGAACTAGCATGATTCTCGCTCTTATTGCACAGATGAGGAAATTCAGTCTCTATATGAGACAGAATCAGGTCACAAACTCTGACTTATTTGACTCCTTTTCTCTCTCCAACTTAACTGCCTTTTACCAGAACAAGAAGTGTTTTCAGTTCTTTGAATCCCCTGCAGTTTCTAAAGCTGTTCCTTGCACATAGTAGGTGCTCAAAGAGGCAAAACTGACTACATGATTCCTTGAACCAGCACTCAACCTGGTAACCTGAAGACATATTGAGTCCACAAAATCTTTCTTAAAGAAAATGCATTGACATGATTCATTCCATAAATATTTATTATCTACCCTGTGTCAGGCTCTGTTCTAGGTGCTGAGGATACAATAGTGAAAAAAAAAAATTCTTGCCTACATGGGACATGACATTGCTAGTGGAGAGAGAAACAATAAAAAGTAATATACTGTAGTATGTTATTTAATAAGTGCAATGGAGAAAACTAAAGTGAGGAAAAGGAATAGAAACGGAAAAGAAATGGAAATGGAAAGGTGGACATTTGAGTACAGAGCTAAACCAGATCAGGGAGTGAGTGGTGTGAGTATCAGTGGGAAATGAACGTTCCAGGCCAGTGCAAAGGTTTTGAGGCAAAAGCCTGCTTGTTGGGTTTTGTGTTTGGAGCGTAGAAAGGAGTTCACTGTGGCTTCTTATGGAAAATTGGAAGATCTGATTATAGTAGACCCATTTTCCTGCCTGATAATTAGCTGTGGCTGAATAACGTTTTATGCATATATGTATTAATATGTATGTATGTATGTGTTTTTAGGCAGGTCATGTGCTTTCTAGTTCCCCACAGTGGTGTATTTCCCTCTTTTTTTTTTGCAGTACGTGGGCATCTCACTGTCATGGCCTCTCCTGTTGCGGAGCACAGGCTCCGGGTGCGCAGGCTCAGCGACCACGGCTCACAGGCCCAGCCACTCCATGGCATGTGGGATCTTCCCGGACCGGGGCACGAACCCGTGTCCCCTGCATCGGCAGGCGGACTCTCAACCACTGCGCCACCAGGGAAGCCCTCCCTCTTTTAATATACCAGCCCCTGTAGTAATAATACTAACAATGGCTAACATTTATTGAGCCCTTACTGTGTGTTAATTACAGTGCTTCAAATGTAATAAAACATTATTCTTCCAACAACCATATGAGGCAGATTGTATTATTAACCTCATTTGACAGTTGAAGGGACAGTCTGCGAGAGATAAAATGACTTGTCTAAAGTCACACAGTCAGTAAGTAGTAGAGCCAGGACTCAAACCCTGTCAGTCTGGCTCTTGAGTTTGTAACCCTTGGCTTAATTGCAGCCTCTTACTGAAATGCAGTCTGACTGATACAGGAGGGAGCCAATTTCTGGTTCTGAAAAGTTCAAATGCTTTTATTTATTTATTAATTATTTTACTTATTTATGTTTTGGTTGCGTTGGGTCTTCGTTGCTGCCTGTGAGCTTTCTCTAGTTGTGGCAAGAGGGGGCTACTCTTCGTTGCAGTGCGCGGGCTTCTCATTGCGGTGGCTTCTCTTGTTGCAGAGCACAGGCTCTAGGCGCGCAGGCTTCAGCAGTTGTGGCACATGGGTTTAGTTGCTCCGCGGCAGGTGGGATCTTCCCCGACCAGGGATCGAACCTGTGTCCCCTGCATTGGCAGGCGGATTCTCAACCACTGGGCCACCAGGGAAGTCCAGTTCAATGCTTTTGACTTCCTTGTTGGTGAGACACCTCTGAGGTCAGAAGTGGCCCCAAATGCCTACCAGCCAGGGATCAGAGAAGTTCCCTAGAGAGCTCCCACCCCCTTAAGTCTCTAGGCTTTGCTATCACTGCTTCCCTGAACCCCAAAGGCAATGATAGGCCTCAGATGCTCAAATTCTTTGCATCTTGTCTCCCTAGCTTCAGTCCCACAAAACATTTGATGCTTCAGACTCATTCTACTTCTTTGTCCTCTTACCTGAGGGATCTTGGGCACATTCTTTACCTCTATCAGCCTCAGTTTCCTCACCTGTGAAATGGGGTTCATAACAATGCCTGCTTCAGAGAGTTGAAACCTTCAATAAAATCAGGTCTGTAAAGCACTTAGCCCAGGCCTGGCACATTATAGGGACACAATTCATATCTAGTGAATAAACAAATCTTCCTGCCACTTTGAGATGGGAGAAAATCTGTGCTGGGGAGATGTAAGAAGTGTGCTCATTGAGTGCTTACCATGTGCCATATTGTATTATTATTTCATTAATCCATACCCCACCCTTGTTCATTACAATCCCATTTATCCCTTCCAGAACTTGCAGCTCCAGCCTGTGTCTGCAGGGGGCGCTGTGGACACACGTTTCTCCAGCCTGTGCGAGATGCCTCCGCTCTCCGGCTAGGAAGAAGGAAGATGGCCCGCAGGGGAGTTTTCATAGGCCAGATTTTCAGATCCTGCAGCCAGCACTTTGGGGGTTGGCTGTCGCAGGGGAGCCTGAGAAAGGGCGAGTTCCCCGGGCCTGAATCACGGGCTGCTGATTGTGCGACCACCACTCACAGTGTAAGAAACCAACCAAAAACAAATTTACCCATGATTCCTTCATCTAACATATCAGTAATCAGTTTTCACTTTTCCATGTTCCCTTCTGTTCTCGTTGTAGTGGAGCAGCTACTACCAACATGGTTGGAGCTTCCAATTTTTAAAGAAAGCCAGAAATCCTTAAAATGTTGGCAACTGATTCCAATTTTATAAACTGGGAAGACTGAACAATGCACACGTGTGAGCCTCATATAGCCCAGAGGCCACCAGTGTAAGACCTCTGGAGTTTGAGCTGTGACCCTTTCAGCACCACCCTTGTCATTCCTGGTGCAGGTAAAACACATGATGCCCAGTTATTATACATTTGAATTTCAGATAATTTTAACCATGTCCCAAATATTGCATGGAACATACTTACACTAAAAAATCGTTATTTATCTGAAATTCAAATGTAACTGGGTGTTCTGTATTTTTATTGGCTAGATCTGGCAACCTCATTCCAGGGAGCATCTGGCTTGGGATGGTGCATCTGTTCTTTAAGATGAAGCCTTGATGGACCTCATTCCTTCTGAGTAACTTGTATCTCTGCCAACTTGAACTTTCCTCTCAGATTATTTGGCCGGGGGGGAATTGGAGTTTCTGAAATTTCCCGATAGTTTACAATTTGGCTGTAATGCCTGGATGGGTAGAATTGGCAGGTCCTATGGTCCCCTGGGCTGGTCCCCTGATCAGTTTCTCCCAAGGTCCCAATGTTGATTAATTGCAGGTTTGTTTAGAAGGCAACTGTCTTTTCCTTTATCTGTTAGTCATGGCAGAAACAGACCATCTTGGGCTTATTTATATCTGTGGCTTTTTTAAAGAGAGAAAAGGAGAAATCTGGATCCTTTCACTTGGCAGGCTCATTTAAACAAATGGTCCTTTTGCTAAAACAGACTGGCGCCACAGGGCCACAGTTTGCAGGTGGGAGGGTTTGGGATGGGGGTGGTCCTGGTGGGTGAGAGCAGTTTTTTCTTTTTTTTTGCTCCAGTGTTAAAATGGTGGCATGTGCAAACTGGGACTTTGTCGTCACTTTTGGCTGTGCCCAGGTTGACCTGGTGTTTTTACAGCTAGAGGAGCTACCTGCTGAGAGTGGTGGTATTCATCAAAGTAAATGCTAGGCTGCCTCAAATATTTCACTGTCGCACTGTATGGTCAAGTCCAAACATTCCTCTGTAAGCTCCATTTTTCCCTACTTGAATCATAATAGTAATAGCACAATAACTGCAATGCCATTTATTGAAATTTCTTACCAGCCTCTAATCTAGGGTACTTTACATTTTAAAATAATTTATTCCTCACCTCAACTCTGCAAGGGCAGTAATATTATCATCCTGACTTTACAGATGAGGAAACTGAGGTTTAGAAAGGGGAAGTGACTTACCTAAGTCACACAGTTAGTAAATGGCTCTACCAATGCCTTTCCTTGTCCATCCTGGTCCCCTCCTTACCCTAGTCCACCTTGCTCACCGCTCCTAGAGCAGGGACACATCAGCGTCAGCTCTAAGCCCTGTGGTGGGAGCTTCAGCAGGAGATGGAGGTGGGGTTGGGGAGTGAGGATGACCTATGCATCCCCCTGGCCGCACCCTGTGGGGACACCTCTCCAGATGTTCTTCCACCTGACCCTCCTTCTGGGCCCTGATGCTCCTTCCCTGGTCCCTTCAGATGTAGGGATATCCCCTCTACTTCCAGCTCCAAGGTTTTGCACTAGCTCCTGTGGTTTCCTTATATTCTGTGAGCACCACTGTTTTCTTCTTGAATTATACTCTGCTTAGAGTTATTCTATTTCCAGTGGGCCAGGACTGGTAGAGAGGCAGAGCTGGGATTCGAACCCAAGGACTCCAAAATAACCTCTTTGCTAATGGCATCCTAGAACTGCTTGCTCCTGCCAGCCACGGTGTTTTCATTCTGGCTTGGACCAGGATCTACTCTCATTTCTGTTCTTTTCTCCAACAATTGCAGGAAATGTTGCTAAGTGCATTTTCTGTGCCTGCTAGTATATGGACTCTATTAAAAACAAATAAAAAACAATGCTAGCTTGACATGACTTGTTCTTAGGAACAATCTCCTAGTGAAGTCTTGCACACCCACGCTCACCCTACCCCCAAGTTCTTAATGAGAATCATTTTGAGAAGCATTTCCTGGGACTTCTCTGGTGGCGCAGTGGTTAAGAATCCGCCTGCCAATGCAGGGGACACAGGTTCAAGCCCTGGTCCGGGAAGATCCCACATGCCACGGAGCAACTAAGCCCGTGCACCACACTACTGGGCCTGCACTCTAGAGCCCGCAAGCCACAACTACTGAGCCTGTGAGCCACAACTACTGAGCCCACGTGCCACAACTACTGAAGACTGCGCACCTAGAGCCCATGCTCTGCAACAAGAGAAGCCACTGCAATGAGAAGCCCGTGCACCGCAACAAAGAGTAGCCCCCACTCGCTGCAACTAGAGAAAGTCTGCATACAGCAATGAAGACCCAACGCGCCAAAAATAAATAAATAAAATTTTTTTTAAAAAAAAGGGTGAAGAATTCGAATAGACATTTCTCCAAAGAAGATGTATGAATGGCCAACAAGGACATGAAGTGATACTCAGCATCACTAATCATTTGGGCAATGCAAATCAAAACCACAATGAGATATCACGTCACACACACGAGGATGTCTACTATACAAAAAAAGCAGAAAATAACAAGTGTTGGTGAGGATATGGAGAAACTGGAACCCTTGCAAACTGTTGGTAGGAAGGTTTAGCTGCTTTAGAAAATGTTATGGTGGTTCCTCAAAAAATTAAAAATATGACATATGATCCAGCAATTCCACTTCTGGGTATATACTTCAAAGAATTGAAAGAAGGGTCTCAAAGAGATAGCTATACACCCATGTTCACAGCAGCATTTTCACAATAGCCAAAAGGTGGAAGCAATCTAAATGTCCATCGACAGATGAATGGATTTTTTTAAATGTGGTATATACATACAACAGAATATTACTCAACTTTAACAAGGAAATTCTGGCAATGCTACAACATGGATGAACTTTGAAGACAGTATCCTTGAAATAAGGCAGTTATGAGAAGACAAGAAAATGTATGATTTCACTTATATGAGGTACCTACAGTAGTCAAACACATAGAAAATAGAAGGGTGGTTGCCAGGGGCTGAGGAGAGGGGACAATTGGGGGTTATTTATTGGGTACAGAGTGTTAGTTTTGTAAGATGAGAAAGTTCTGGAGATTGGTTGCACAACTTAACACTACTGAATTGTACACTTAAAAAATGGCTAAGATGGTACATTTTATGTTTATGTGTATTTTACCACAATTAGAAAAAAAATGTTCAAGGGCAACAATAAACTCTGGTAATATGGAAGGAGCAGTGTCTGCCACAGTGTTAACATAAGGTAGCTTTCCATGACCCACATAGGTGTAAAATAGTTCCACCCAAATAATTCATCTTAGAGCTGGTCCCCTCTGGTTTTTACTGTTGTGGGTCTACTAGCTTATGACCCTTATGGAAAAAAGTATTTGCATCACAGCTTATAGTCATTGGCTGTCAGAGATGTAAGAGCTGTTGGAAAAGGGCCCTCCCTCAACCCTATCCCCATTATATAGATGAGTAAACTGAGTCCCAAAGAGAGAGCTTGCTTTGTTCAAGGACATAGTGAGTTTCTTCTGACATCTGGCCCAGGGTCCTTTCTCAGTGAGGAATAATGAACTCTCCTCTGGCAATGCTGGTGTTGGACATATCATTAGAATATGAACTTCTGCTGGCAATGGACTTATTAGAATATGTCATTTTCTGGAACTTCCTTGGCGGTCCAGTGGTTAAGACTTCACCTTCCAGTGCAGGGGGTGCAGGTTTGATCCCCGGTCAGAGAGCTAAGATCCCACATGCCCCTGGGCCAAAAAACCAAAACAAAAAACAGAAGCAATATTGTAACAAGTTCAATAAAGACTTTTAAAATGGTCCACATCCAAAAAAAAAATTAGAATATGTCATTTTTGAAGAAATCTTCCATTTAAAAGACAGTCTTGGGGACTTCCCTGGTGGTCCAGTGGTAAAGAATCTGCCTTGCAATGCAGGAGACACGGGTTCGATCCCTGGTCGGGAACTAAGATCCCACATGCTGCGGGGCAACTAAGCCCACATGTCCCAACTACTGAGCAGACACACCTCAAACTACAGAGCCCACGTGCTCTGGAGCCCGTGTGCTTCAACGAGAGAGAGAAAACTCACAAGCCACAACTAGATAGAAGCTCTTGCGCTACAACAAAGAACCCACGTGCTGTGATGAAGATCCCATGTGCCGCCACTAAGACCCGACACAGCCAAAAATAAACAAACAAAACCCCAAAATGCTTTAAAAAAAATAGGCAGAAGACCTAAGTAGATATTTCTCCAAAGAAGACATACAGATGGTCAAAACGCACATGAAAAGATGCTCAACATCGCTAATTACTAGAGAAATGCAAATCAAAACTACAGTAGGGTACCACCTCACACTGGTCAGAATGGTCATCATTAAAAAGTCTACAAATAACAAATGCTGGAGAGGGTGTGGAGAAAAGGGGACCCTCCTGTACTGTTGGTGGGAATGTAAGTTGGTGCAGCCACTGTGGAAAAGAGTATGGAGGTTCCTCAGCAATCCCACTCCTGGGCATATATCCAGACAAAACTATAATCCAAAAAGATACATGCACCCCTATGTTCATAGCAGCACTATTCACAATAGCCAAGACATGGACTTTTAGGTTGTTTCCATCGACAGATGAATGGATAAAGAAGATGTGGTACCTATATACAATGATATACTATGCTGTCATAAGAAAGAATGAAATAACTCCATTTGCAGCCACATGGATAGGCTTAGAGATTAACGTGCTAAGTGAGGTAAGTCAGAAAGAGAAAGACAAATACCATATGATATCGCTTATATGTGGAATCTAAAATATGACACAAATGAACCTATCTACGAAAGAGAAACAGACTTACAGACGTAGAGAACAGACTTGTGGTTGCCAAGAGGGAGGGGGGTGGAGGAGGGATGCGTTAGGAGTTTGGGGTTAGAAGATGCAAACTATTATATGTAGAATGGATAAATGAGGTCCTACTGTATAGGAAAGGGAGCTATGTTCAATATCCTGTGATAAACCATAATGATCCCACATGCCGCAGAGCAATTAAGCCTGTGAGCCACACTATTGAGCCTACGCTCTAGAGCCCGTGAGCCACAACTACTGAGCCTGCGTGCCACAACTACTGAAGCCTGCATGCCTAGAGCCCGTGCTCCGCAACAAGAGAAGCCACCACAATGAGAAGCCCGCACACCGCAACGAAGAGTAGCCCCTGCTCGCTACAACTAGAGAAAGCCCGCGCACAGCAACAAAGACCCAACGCAGCCAAAAATAAATAATAAAAAATAAATAAATTTAGGGGCTTCCCTGGTGGCACAGTGGTTAAGAATCTGCCTGCCAATGCAGGCGACACGGGTAGGAGCCCTGGCCCGGGAAGAGAAAGCCCATGCGCAACAATGAAGACCCAAGGCAGCCAAAAATAAATAAATAAATTTATTTTAAAAAATTTTATAAAAAACAGGGCTTCCCTGGTGGCGCAGTGGTTGAGAGTCCACCTGCCGATGCAGGGGATGCGGGTTTGTGCGCCGGTCCGGGAAGATCCCACATGCCGCGGAGCGGCTGGGCCCGTGAGCCATGGCCGCTGAGCCTGTGCGTCCGGAGCCTGTGCTCCGCAACGGGAGAGGCCACAACTGTGACAGGCCCGCGTACCACACACACACACACACACACACACACAAAATATATATATATATATATATAAAAAACAAAATAAAACAAAAAAACCACTTATCAGACCTGGACTCTTGTTAATGTGGAGTAAAAATGGAAAACTCCAGACATTATAAACACTTGTGTTTCATTTGCTTTGAAGGAATTTTCCTCATCTCTAACTAATGGGCCTCCAATTTCTCAGACTCTCTCTGCCAGAGAGGGAAATTGAGCTGGAAGGTTAACCATCCAGAGAGGGTCATGCACCTGGCTCCACCCTAAACTTCATCATTTACCAGTGGAGCCCGCTAGACATTTGGCAGGAAATGGTGAAAATAACATTTTCCTGGTGTCTGAGGGTGCCATATGCATTTTGGCTTGGGTGGTATCAAAAAGCAGCTGGGAAAATTCCAGTTTTATCAGGCATCCCTTTGTTCACTCTGGGTGTGGCTAGCCATACAGGAAGTCACACAGACACATATTGCCCACTGAGTTAGCTCTGTCCTTCAAAAACATATTATTTAAGATATAAACACACGCAAAGGGCGAGAGGAAGGCAGCTTGAGGAAGTGGCTAGATCACTATATTGGACATCAGGGTTCAAGGCCCAGCTTAGGCACTGACTCAGCCACCTTCATTTATAAAAATTTACCAGTTTTCTACGAAGTGGCAAGTACTTTCTAGCTCTGTGACTGTAGGCAAGTGACTTCACACCTCTGAGCCTTGTCCAACCTCTGCAAAAGACATTAATAATATTTATTTGTGGTAGATACTGCTGGTTCCTACCCAACAGCCATTTCCTTGCCTTGTGTCCTTGCTGGAACCAGTCTCTCACTCTAGAGGCAGATGAAGCCAGCCACTCACCTTCCAAGCCTCCTTTGCATTAAGGCACGCAGCTTAGTTCTGACCAATAAGATGCAAGGGAAACTTGGCCAGGGAGTTTCTAGATGCAGTGCCCACGGCATCTTTTCATATGATTATTAATAATCATGAAACTGAGTCTCCCTAAAACCAAGTTCCCTCACTGAGTTTATGATTAATCTCTCTCTCCAAAACTTTATTCCCTTTCTTGTCCCCTCTGACCTCAATCCTCTGCTAACCACTCATCAACCAGATGCGTGACTACAATTGCTGTTGTGACTACAATTGTGACTACAATTGCCGTTGTCAATAATATTGTTAACGTACTAAAATCGCTGTTACAGATATGTCATCATTAACGTACGAACTCAGGTTGTTTCTTCAGGGCAAGGTGAGTT